ATATATATATAAATATATATATATATATATATATATATATATATATATATATATATATATATATATATATATGTGTGTGTGTGTATATGTATATATATATATCACAAACACAGTAACGTGTATACATAAATGAAAAGGAAAACAACCACAGTAAGAAACGAATATAAATCGTAACGTTTCGAATTCTTCACGAGTTCCTCTTCAGAAGAATAATAAACCGAATCCATTTCGGCTTATTATTCGTCTGAAGAGGAACTCGTGAAGAGTTCGAAACGTTACGATTTATATTCATTTCTTACTGTGGCTGTTTTCCTTTTCAATGTATATATATACACATGTATATGTATATATATGTATGTGTACTGTGTATGTATATATATGCATATTCTGTATAAATTGTATATATATGTATATATATATATATATATATATATATATATATACTGTATATATGTTCATATATATCGCTATATGTCTATATATATATATATATACATATACTGTATATATGTTCATATATATCGCTATATGTCTATATATATATATATATACATATATACACTGAATATATATAGATATGAACATTGATATATATAAGTATATATATAAATATATATCTACATACATATATATATATATATATGTAAACACAAAGTATATATATAAATATATGTATATATATGTACAGTTGCGGAATTATATTCCAGTACACATGCTGGGTCCCACTTTTGTACATCTGGTAAATAGTATTTTTATAAATGAGGAGAAAAACTTAGGTGGTTTGTAACAAAGAGCGTGATTGGTAGAACATAAATAGCCAATAAGTGTATTAACCCATTCCCGCCGGTCATGCCATGCCATGGCCACTGTGAGATTACTTGTTAGATTGTTTTCACACATAGATGGCTACACTTGTACTAAATCACCAATGAGCCAGTTACGAGTACCGCCTGTCTCGCCCGTTCACCCTTTCCTTTGATTTACGAAATATTTTACGGTATCTTATTTTGGTGTTACTAATGTTAAAAAACATTATAAAAATTACAATGTTTATGATAAAAATAACACCATCGATATTCATGGCACTAGTGAAAAATATGTGTTTCAAATCAGGCGCTAACAGAGCCATCTATGGGCAGACATTTAACAAAAAAGTATAGAAAATAAGCACAGCATTTTCCCCATTTTTTGTTCATTTTCCCCGGCGGCAATGGGTTAACATATATTTTTGGAAACGAAATAAGCTATTTGATATTTCTTTTTTTCAAATAACTGGTTGCAAAATGTGTAGTATTAATTATCGTCTTTTTATGGAATAAATGTGACTACAAACCTCTATGTATGGCAGCTAAATCAAATAGAATTCGCTGAGAAGTTAGCAAATGCTCGCAGCAAAATCAGATCCAAACACTGATTCAGAAGAAAAAATGTTACGTTATAACCTTCATTATAGACCAACTGTACGCACAAGCAAAATCACAGGAATACAGTGAATTTATATGGGTTTCATCATTGTGAGCATGTATGCATGCTGAATTATAGTTTTGCATTTCAATTTTTTTGAACCACATTCAGCGAAAAATATGTATTTGCTTATTGAAATGCTTTCTTGCTTTGTATGAATTGACTATTTGGTAGAACTCATTTTTAAAGATATTTAGTTTTCTTTTTACTTTTAATGAAGAACAGTAATATGTAGAAAAGAAGGCAAATATTTGGGAAAATCATACTGGCTGGAACAATTCATTTTTTATTAAAACCTTGTCCAACCACCGTTACTTTCTACAACTCGTAGTCTCCAGGACGGAGGCGACATGCTTATATACAAGGTCCGGTTTCCTACGTAGTACTTCCCATTCCCTCTTTGTATGTTCTTTTAACTTTGGCGAGGTTCTTTCATTTGCCGTTTCCTAGACATTGACTATATTTACCCAGACGTTTTCGATTGGGTTAAGTCACATTCGTTGCTTGGCCATGGTAGGACCTCGAGGTGGTATGGTCACGTTATCCTACGTGAATACGATCGTTTTTGGGAAAGGCAAGGCATAGCTGCGTACTGACGGGTGAAACACCTCTAATACGATATATTTCTCCAAATTGAATCTCCCCTCGATTTCTGCTAGTTCGTCAACGCCATGCAGGAATGTCCACCCCTCACATATCACGTGGCTACTCCTCGTAGTTTCGTAGATGTTTTGATAATCATATCTGGAAAATATAGAATGAGATATTAGAACATGAGATAGCGCGCAAACAACAATAATCTATATAGAAAGTGATCTTTTCCATACATCATAATACAATAAAAAGGTTAAAGAAGTAAAAAAGTAGTTTGCAAACCTTGTGGTATCTCTCCTCCAGCACTGGAGCTTTCCGTGTGCGGTGGAACAAAATGTTTTTTCATCACTCCAGATTACCCATCCCCAGTAATCCGGATCATTGTCTACATCAGTGGTTCTCAATCTTTTTTCAATGATGGCACCCTGAATTTATATAATACTTTCTGTGGCACCCCTTTTTCACCATCACCCCTCCTCACATGAATTAACTTCTGATATAAAATTGTACCTGTTTGAATTACTTTAATTAATGATTTAAAATTATTATCCGTACTCAAACCAAAATTAACATATGATGTACTGTAGTACATGCCCAAACATAGAACTCGTCAGTGGAATTAGATTCAGAATATTAGATTAACTTAAGAGTTATAAATGCAAAGATGATCATGTTTCAAAGATAAATGCCTCTTTAATTTGCTGGGTACTATCGCCTCATTAGCTAATTTATCACCACAAATAACACACAGTGGTGTAGGATTAACCTCATCGCCACACCAAAAGAATCCCAAATCTAGATAATTATCCAAATAGGAGCGATTTTTCCTGCTTTTTTTGGAAGTTGATTTGTTTGCTGCTGAAATGGCCAAATCCTTTTCACTCGTACTTCTACTTTCGTTTCCTTCTTCACCCTCACCACTATCTCCATGTTTTCTCTTCTTAATGACAAACTTATCCATTGTGAGTTTAAGTTCAATACAGCTGCAGATTATCAGAAGCAGCAAGGAATACACCCGTACAGCTCGATGTATAGTGCCTCACTGACAAAAATCGGACAAGTACCGATCACGTCATCACGTACTGGACGACCGAAAAGAAAATTTGGTTACGCAAGGAGTACTATTACATTCTATTGACATTATTATTATTATTATTATTATTATTACTATTATTATTATTATTATGCTATCAGTAGTAGTAGTAGTAGTAGTAGTAGTAGTACAAGTGTACAAAAGGAAATATCTACCTATATTTTAGTAAAATATTAGAGCAAGTAACTTCCTACACCGACATTTAATTATAGGCAGACTGCTACAAACTGTTTTACAAATGTACCTTGAAACGATCTAGCCAAGACAAAATTCATGGCAATCTTGTGGCACCCCTAGGCGCTGTCCGTGGCACCCCAGGGTGCCGCGGCACCCAGTTTGAGAACCACTGGTCTACATACTGCTGGGCGATTGAAGGCGACCTTGGCGATGACGTTCGGTCAACCTCCCTTTGATGGCTGGTGTTCGGTGATTAATACCATTAGCATGCAATCTTTTTCTCACCATTCGACTAGTTACTGGGAGCTACAATTATTATAATTTAACTGCACTGGTGAAGGGGTTCGCCTCCACCATCTCCCTGATCTGAGCCTCTTGATCTTGGTTGTCTTTCGTGGGGCACCGGAACGAGGGCGATCGTTCAGGGTGCCCTTCTCCTCCCACCTCTTTATCCACTTGTAAATTGCAGACCGGGAGATACCTCGCGCCCTGGAAATGTCACTAGGTAAGAGACCACTTTCATTCCAATTATACGACCACGATTCGCAATTTTAGTTTGCCTTGCGTTAATCTTCAAGAGTGTCAGCTAAACCTTTCACAGGCAACCTCGTATTCACCTCGGATATCCCATACTTCACAATGGCGTCATGCTTTCGACAATATATTTTTTTGTTCATTTAACATATGCTTGGGTTGACAGCAAGGTAGATATTCAGGAATTTAAGGGCATTCATTATCATAAAAATTATGAAAAAAAAAAAAAAAATATATATATTATAGTTGGTTCCTCTTTCTTTAAATTACCCAATTAGTAGTTCAGGGTTAATAAACAAGCGTTCAGGTTACTGCATGCTCCGGACATTTCGTATGGATGAAAATAATTATTCCATAAACATATAAAGGGAATGTATAAAAACCTTAACATTGTAAAGTTTAAATATGATATATATATACATTTATACACACATATATGCCTATTTATATACAGTTTATAGACATGAACTGACAAACAAGAGAATGAGAAATACGAATGTGACAGACAAATGTAGAGAATGAGATACAACGGCTAATAGACCATGCGCAGAGGAAATGTAATATATGCAATATTACAGATGACACATAAATTTTTGTAACTCATCAAGTATATACTTGTGTACACACGCATACGCACA